AAGACATGCAAGTAATAAAGTCATAATAACTCAGTCTGTAGGGTCACAGTGTGAAACCTCTATACTAGCTAGAAACTAGTTTTCTTTTTTAGCATAATAACTAAAAAACAGCTTTTAAAAGACTTTCATAATAGAATATAAATAATAGTTTATAGCGCTGAAAATTGCTATAATTTTTGTTTCAAAAATTAAAATCCTGAATGAAAGACATAAAAAGACTTGAATAACTAGAGACCTATATCAAATAAGTGAAGGGGTATATAATAGAATCTCCCCAAATTATTGGTAGATTTTTGAGGGAGCTTACTAACTTATTCCAAAATTTAAATAGAAGAAAAAGACAAGTAGGTATCTAGGTCAACTTGGAAGTATATGAAAGGATTGAAGGGGCTTCCTGTGTCCAGTAAGAAAAAAGACATATTGAAAACTATAATAATAAAACAATATGGTTCTGGCATAGCAATAGACAAATTGATAATAGAATAAAATGGGTAGCTTGGAATCAGGCAAGGTGAATAGGAATTTGACATTGGTAAAGATGGTACTATAAAACAACTAGGAAGAACAGATTCTTAAAGGTTAGATTTGAAAAAAATGGCTTCCAATATGAAGAAAAGAAAGAGGAATTCCTTCTTTATGCTTTAAACAGAAACTCTATATGAATTCAAGACATAAATGTGGGAAATGAAACTAGGAAGCTAATGAAAGAAATGTTCAAAAATAACTTTGCGATGTATGTGGAAGGAAAAGCTAAAAGGCTTTAGATCATAATGTGAACAACATGATGCCTTTGACTATATCAAATTAAGGATTTCTACTCAAAGGAGAGATTACAAACTGAGAAAGCATGTTTGCAATATATAAAAGTGACAAGAAACAGATATATGGAAGTCCTGCAAAGCAATAAAATAAGAAATCCAAAGGCATGAGTGAAGTTCCTCAATAAGCAATTCACATAAGGGTATGTGCTAGTGGTTAATAAGTGTATAAAAAGGTGTTCGTATTTATTACTAATCTGAAATATGCAAATTAAACAGAATGTGGTAGCTTTTCTAGCCCGATAAGAATGGCAAAAATCAGAAAGTTGCATAATAGCAAATTTTGATGAGGATGTGAAAAAATGAGATCCATATAGTCCATTACTGCTCAGAGTGTAAATAACACAACCATTTTGGGAAACAGTCTGAGGCACAAACTGTTTATTTGCAGTAATTACATTCTATAAAGTTATTGCAGACACTGAGTGACTAGTGAATCATCGCTCTAGGGGAAATACTGGGTTAGCTTTCTGCAAGCCTGTAGCTATAACACTTTTGTTAGTTAAGCATACATAACCTGTTTTACATATGTTCCTATTTAAAGACATCTTATTTAATGTGTATTATTGATTCATTGACATTGAACTCACAGCCAACAGCACAATAACATACTTGAATGAAGCTAACATACATATTCTCTTCATAAGGCACATTGAAGCCCACTTGCACTTAGGAACCTTAAACAGTACTTTGCGCTGGGTGTGGAATACGTTTTAAACAGTGAAATCACCACAAAAGAGCACTAAAATGCAAAAAAAGCATCTCTAAATAAACTACTGAAAAGACACTCATTTACAGTATGAGAGCTGAAACATGAAGGCAGAGCATTGTCTTGTTTAAAGAATGGCCCTGAAAGCCTCGTGAGGATTGATACTGAGGTTACTGAGGTTATTGATACTGAGTACGTGAACTTGCATATATGGGCTCCACAAATAATGTTTATTTTTAGTTCAAGGTCATGCAAACCCTATGACCAAGCTATTTCATTGTTTGGTATATTCATATATTCCAGGGGAAGTCCTCCATGGTCCCATAAGGGGATATATACAAAGTTATTCATTAGGACAATGTGATGGCAAAATATTAGAATGCAATTTAGATACCCTCCACCAGGGAAAAGTAAATTGTGATGAAAGCATCCCACAGATATGCATCAGTTGAAACCCATGAAACTAGATGAATAAATAGCAACACAGAATTAAAGCACAGAACTGGATGAAAAAGGTAATACATAGGGTCTAACAAGTTTTTTATGTAAATTAAAAGTACACATATATGTATTAACAAAATAACACTACACATTTTACTTACAGTTTTGAACATATATCTAGCACATTAGAATGCTGAAGTGAAAAGGAGAATTGAAAGGAAAATAGGTAAAACAAGCTAAGTAGGGGTCAGCACAGGCTAATGAAATCACTGTGCTCTGAGTGCTCATCTCCTAAGGCTGAAAAAAGAAAAAAAAAGCCATGATGGGGGAATCATAAAGTGCTCAGGGGCACATCAAATGGAATCTAGCCATGTTCAGGGTGACTTGCCAGGGCAGATTCCCTGAGGAAGGTCATACTTCAGGAAAAGCCCAGCTTGACTTAAGCAGGGAGGAAGAGGGCTTCAGGAAGACCAAGTCTGTCAACTGGTTAAGTGACAACTAGGCATGTTTGAGAAGCCTTTACTTCAGATTTGCGTTGCAAGAGTCAGAGGGACTTGGTACCAGATCTAAGTCACATCTAGGATTGTAGATTTGTGACCAGACCTGTAGATCAGTGGCCACATTAAGGACTGGAGGGTAGGCACAGGGCACAAAGGCCAGTCGAGGGACTGCAGTGCTCTTCCAGGAGAGGGAAGTTGGGGGTAAAGAGGCCTGGACTGAGGGAGAGAGGAGAAAGATGACACTATCAGGATGTTGGAAGCTTTACCACCTCTACCTGGTATTCATGGGTGAAACCACTCTCCTGAGGGCCCCAGGGCTTCACATACCTGCCAGCCCAGCCTTCTTTTCCAGGCAAATTGCTCCACTGATTCTTTTTCATTTATTGAGTTGACAAGTAAATATGTATATATTTGTTATATATAAAACACGATATTTTGAAATGTGTATACATTGTGGAAGGACTGAATTTAGCTAATTAACATATATAACCTCTTTTTTGCTGAGAACACTTAAAATCTTTTCTCTTTGGCAATTTCAAAAATGGAATATATTGTTATTATTACCATTTTATATAATAGGTCTCCTGAACTTATTCCTGCTGCCTAATTGAAATTTTGTATCCTTTGGCTGGTTTCTTCCCAATCCCTGCTACTCCAGTAACTTCCTGTAGTTCTTAGGTCTCTGTGTTAAACAATACGTTTGAACATCGTTTCTCTCCCTCTGGCCACAGTTACTTGGTGCAGAAGTGAGAATGTGGCAAAAGAACAGCGAGACTCAATGACCTATGGCCATTAAAAATTTTTTTAAAAACTTGGTAAAATATACATAACATAATATTTACCAGTTAACCTCTTTAAAGTGTACAATTCAGCGGCATTAAGAACATTCTCAATGTTTTCCAACCATTACCATTTCCAGAACTTTCTCATTATCCTGAATAGAAACTCTGTACTCGTAAAACAACAACTTCGCATTATCCACATCCCCAGCTTCTAGTAACCTTTGTTCCGCACTCTGTCTCTATGAATTTCACTATTCTGGGTGCCTCATAGAAGTGAAATTATACAATATTTGTCGATTTGTGTCTGGCTTATTTCATTTGGCATGAACTTTAAAGTTCATCTACATGCATATATAAGAGTATCATTCTTCCTTTTTATGGCTGAATAGTATTACACTGTGTATATATACCATTTTCATCTAACAGTGAACACTTAGGTTCTCTTCACTATTGTGAATATGAACATTGATAAATAAGTATCTCTCCAGGGTCCTGCTTTCTATTCTTTTAGATATATACTCAAAAGTGAAATTGTTGGATCGTATGGTAATTCTGTTTAATTTTTTGAGGAACTGTCACACTGTCTTCCATAATGGCCACAGCATTTTATATTCCTATTAACAGTGCCCCAAAGTTCCATTTTTTTCCACCCTCTCACCAACACTTAGTGTATATGTGTGTGTGTGTGTGTGTATTAAACAGTCCTAATGGTTGTAATGAGGTATCTCATTGTGGCTTAGATTTGCATCTCTAACATCTCATGATAGTGAGCATCTATTCTTGTGCTTATTGGCCATTTGTATATTTTCTTCTCTTCAAGTCCTTTATTTTTAAATTGAACTGTTTGTATTTTTGTTGTTGAGTTGTAGGAATTCTTTATATATTCTGGATATTAATTCCTTATTAGATAAGTAAGTGATTAGGAAATATTTTTTCCCATTCTGTGATTGTCTTTTCACCCTCTTGAAAGTGTTCTTCAGTGCACAAAAATTGGAAAGGTAAGTTCATAAAACCATTATAGTGTGTCCTCTTTAACTTATCTGCTGGATCTGACACCACGTAACTTCTGGCTCTTCCACAAAGTCAGAATGATCATGAAAAGTGAACATTTTGAATTGATTCAGGATATCAAGACAGCCATGGCAATGCAACTAAAGATACTCAAGAAAGAAGACTTCCAGAACTGCTTTAGAAAGTGGCAAGAATGATGGGATAAATATGCTCAAAGTCAGGAGGAGTATTTTGAGGTGGATTAATAACAATGTGTCTTTTACTGTAATAATTTTAAAACGTTTAAATACCCACTGTATTTTAAAATCAAACCTCATACTGCTGATAAGAAGAAACTTCTCTCTTTTGCTTCACAATGTCATGAATAAGGAAACTACAGAGCGCTGAAAATTAAAAGAATTGAATGCCTTTTGACCAAACAGGTATCCTAATGGACACACTTGGTGGAGCATAAGCTGAGTGGGGAGTATGCTAGGTTTTTAAGACACCATCAAGGTCCGGATAGCTGAGGTAAATCCCCTGTGGGGCTGGCACTGAAATATTGGTGGTAACAGGAAATTTTCAGGCAGCTAAGAGTGAGACAGCACTTTCAGTTTTTCCTTTGCAGTTTGCTTCTATGCAGCTATTTCTATAAAAAGGGCAAGAGCAATTCATATCTACCTTCCAGAGGGATTTTCAGAAATTGAAAGAATAGATTCAAGAGAAATGACTAAATTTCTTTTTATCAAACTCTTGGAGGACTTGAGAATCAAATTGTTTGAATGAATGGTAATGTGATCCTAATTATACTTATAGTCTTGTAAAATTTAGGATGTACAGCTCAAAAACACTTTGTCTACGAATCCAGGAAATTTATATTATTTGATTACAATGGAAAACTATCTAGAACTACACTTTGAGAATTATTCTTCTACCTGGCTGCCTGAATTTTTCCATATTTCCCTCTAGTGTTGTCAGTGTTTATGAGAGAAGATCAGATTGCCTCTTTGAATTAGGGATTCCTATAATTCTTTATCTCCTGGGGCATGTCATTTTGATGATGGCTGCTTTGACATCCTTGTTCCTCAGCGTGTAGATAAGAGGGTTCAGCACTGGTGTGAGAATAGCATATATCACATTGCCCATGATGTGGAAGTCGAGGGGCAGGTCAGCCCTGTAGGCCACATAGGCTATGGCAATGGATGAGTAGTAGGTACCTACCACCAGGAGGTGGGAGCTGCAAGTGGAGAAGGCCTTTGAACGTCCTTCATGGGAGTTGATGCAAAGCACTGAGATCAGAATGTGAGCATAGGAAAGAAGCACCAGGAAGAGGGGGAAGAAGGACACCACCATGGCAATGCAGAAGCCCATGAGGGTCTGGGGGCTAGTGTCAGAGCAGGAAGCCTGGACAACAGCCAGATGGTCACAGAAGCAGTGGTAGATGTAGGCAATGTTGTCAAATGCCATCTGAGAAGTTTGTACCACTGCTGGGATGGGCAGGAGGAGGGCAGTGAGCCAGGCACTGGCTGCCAGTGCAGTATTGGTCTGTGGAGTCATGTGAATAGGGTAATGAAGTGGGCGGCAGATGGCTATATAGCGGTCATAGGCCATCACCACCAGGATGAAGGCTTCAGAGCAGGAGAAGCTATGGAACAGATACATCTGCAGGAAACAGGCAGGGAAGCTGAGGAAGTGGTCCTCAAACAGGAATAGGGAAAGCATCTTGGGGACTGTGGTTGTGGTGAAAAAGATGTCTAATGCTGAGAGGTTAATTAGGAAGAAGTACATGGGCTTGTGGAGGCTGGGCTCTGCTACCACGGACACCAGGATCAAGATGTTACCCACAAGGATGAGCAGATAAAGAAGGAGAAAGATGAAGAAGATAGGAAGGAAGAGGTAAGTTGGCAGAGAGGGAATGCCTGTAAGGTAGAAGGTGGTTGGGGATTCTTCTGATCCATTACATGTTGTGGTCTCCATTGTGGGTTAAAACTGAATGTTCAGGAGATGGGTAGTAGAACATCTGGAAAGCAGGCTCATCTGGAAACAGAACAACCAGAGTTTAGAATGATAATTACATAATGATCACTACATAATTAAAATAACAATGTTGATTTACAAGCAATTCTAAAGGACTGATAACAGGATCTGTCTAACCCCCAAATTCACCATCCTACCCTCAAATTTCCTTTCCTTTAAAAATCAATTGTAAAGAAAGTATCTACAATATACAAACTATGTGTTATTTATTGAGCATATAGTAGACAAGATGAATGAAATGAAGAAAGTTTCTAATGCCAAGGGGCTGAAATTCTAGTGGTAAAAAAAAGACAGTAAGAAATGAATCATAATTATTTAATTGAAATTGTGTTAAGTGCTACGGAGGATCTTCTGTGAGTCCTTCTTTCCATGTGCCATATTGTCCTTTTGGAGATATCAGATCTTAAATTTTCTGTCTTTTTTGGATATGTTCAAGTTTTTAAAAAATGACATCTTTGTCACCATGTAGCTAGGGAGGGCTGATTACTCCAAGGCTTACTACAGCATTCTGCCTTCCTTCTCTAATAATTAATCAGGGACTGGTTCCTTTCTCTCATTTGTTTGGTACAGTGGTTCTGCTGTCTCCATCACAGTTGAATACTCTGTACCCCGTCTCTACATGTGGGGCTCTTTGTCATCATTACAGTAAAGGGAGTGACATTGAAAATGTTTGTGGCAGAAAGAATCATTCCTGACAGGAATCCTATTAATGGCCTCTTCCCATGGTTCTGCAGCAAGAGAATCCAGCACAGTGTCTATGTGATTCCATTCAGTGCCCTCCCTTGTGCTCCTGCAGTTCAGCACATGCCCCTCTGTGACCACAGCTGCCCACTCCCTGTAGGCTCCTTTGTCCCCAATTCAGGTGTCCTGGTTTTCTGGGAAGGCTTGGGAGGCACTGTTGATGGAGATAAACTGCATATCAGCTCTAAAGCAAAAGAACCCCTCCTAGAGGAATCGGAAGTGAAATTTCAAGCCACAGCTTGGGGTTTTGAGCTGAAAGAAAGTACTAATTCACTGTGATTTTTAGGCTTGTCCTTTGGCCTATGTGACCATCAGAGTAAGTCTGTGATAATATTGGTATTAGGGCTTCTTTAATCCCGATGATTCCATGAGCAGTTTCCCCTTATTATCTGTAGACTCACTTCTAATTTCCCACTCTTCCAAAAAAAAATCCATGCAAAAACCAGCTTAATAAAATCAATTAGTCAAACAAACAAACAAAAATCCCCAGACAAACACTGTCTCTAGGCCAGAAATGGCGCATGTGAAGGGCAGGATTTTGCTAAGTGCCACAACTGGCTGGCAGCACAGCCAGGATGAGCCCTTTCTTCTATGCATCCTTCCTGGAGAATACAGAAGTTCAGGTTTTCAAGGGGAAAATATTAGGACAAATGTGTCTATTTCCCATTTTCCTTGTCCATTGATAATATCAGACAAAAATAAATTTCAAATTTTTATCTGGGTCTCTATATGGTAGATACTAAATTGGTGTCTGCAAATGAAAGTGCTTCCTTGAAAAAAACTTTTCAAGAACTTAAAAAAGACAGACTGCTTTGTTCCAACTGAGAAGGTATCCCTCAGCCAGAAGCCATCCCAACAGATGCAGTACCCAGCATTTCCTCACACTCATATAGATGCAAATCTCACTGCCCTGAATGCTGGGCTTAGAGAGACCATCAAGCACCACTACTCCCAGGTAAGGCTGAGTTTGGGGTAGGGTCTGGAAGGACAGGCACTCAGAGGGTCTAAACCAACGAGGCCCTCACAGGCCACCAGTATATCTGCCCTCCCTTCCTCCTCTGTCCACTGCTTTATAGATGGAAACACAGATGCTGAGAGCCTGCTGGAGGGATGTCTTGTGACTTTTCATAGCCTGGTGGTCATGGACTATGTAACAAGCTGCCCAGGCTTGGGACACCAGCAAAGCAGGGCCACCAAAACTAATTTCAGAAAGTATTTAACATTTACTATTCCAAAGCAATAGTTTATTATAGAAAACATCAGAATTTGCTGAACTCCCTCAGTCTTATTTCATAGGCTCGGATGGTTATCATCTGAATTATATATGCCTCTAAGTAATGCAGCTTTGTGTTTAGGGCCAACATAACACAGTTTTCCAGTACTCACAACTTGCCCCAGCAGGTCTTCTCCGTAGGGATTGTCTGGGAGCTGGTTATAGTATTAAGGAGAGAAAAGGACAGAAAAACTAGTTTCCTGAAAGTACAAACTGTATTGTATGCAACTCATCTTTTCTCATCACATAGCCCAGGAAGGGAGAGGTTATACCTCTTCAACAAATGAAACTGAGGGACAGACAAAGGAGCAGGGCCTTGTCATAAGCCATGGCTTCAGAAGGATGAGGTAGAGGTAGCTCCTAGAGAGCTACCTCTCCTGCTGCCAAAGACTGAGACCCATCTGTCAACCAAGACTGCTGGTTCTTAGAGAAGCCCTGCCACACCCTTCCTGTGACTTTGAGACCCTGAGACTACCTCCTTTTTTATGGTGAGGGGATTGATGAAAAACATTTGAAGGGTTTAAAATTCAACAAATCATTTTTGCATGTCCCCCCTGATTTGGGAAGAATGGGAGACCCAGAGTTGGATGACATGTGGTCCATATGCCGAGGGGAGAGAGAGGAGGCTCTTAGTGAGCTCCTATGCAGGTCCCATTCTCTAGCTTCATTATGACTTAGGCACAATAGTGGTTAAGTTGGAAGTTTGAAAGGACTGTATTCCTGTCCCTGTTCCACTTGCAGCTTTGTGCCCTTGAGTAAGTCACTTCTTTTCTCATTGACCCTTATTCCCCTTACCTGTGAACTTGTAGGATTTTCTTTCAGGAGAGAACGCTTAGAGAGTGCTACAAAGAGCCTGGAACTTGTTAGAGCTCAGCATTTGCTAGTTTCTGCTGTCTTCAGCTTTGTCTTTTTCTGGGAAGGCCTTGGCCAAGATGATTTGAATTCCACCTGTGAGCACACTGCCCTGCCCTGACCGGTCAGGGCATATGACTGAAGCTCTCCCAGCTCATGCATGCAGAGCCATCCTGGATTCTGGGTGCTTGCTTCTGTGGACAGCCAATCTGTCTTCTGATCTGTGGCCCACATTTATAGCACCTGGATTCCTGTTTCTGTCTCTCTATCCCAGCTTTCTCTGCTACCTCAAGGCACTCCATTCCCAAAATCACTCACCTGTTGAGCCTGGTCCACACTGGGGTCTCCTACATTTCTTCAGGGGAGACCTTGGTGGATGTAGCAGGTTCAGGCTGAGCCATGGCCCATTAAACCCTGAGGCTCTTCCTTTCAAGCAGTCTCTTGAGGAACTTTCTCTCTAGACAGTGCTCCCCTGGCACCATACCCACCATCCCTCAAGGCTCATTCTATGACATCTCCTGTGGCACCTATGTGAGAGGAGGGAGGTAAGATTTGTTCCTGTGCTTTGCTGATAATGAGGAGATCCTTGTTAACATCCTCAAGGACCCAGAGGTTTACGCTAATGATGTAGCCTTCATTCTAATCATCCTATCTGATCCTTGCAATCTCAGAAGACACAGGAAATAACAACAGGGTATACAGGAAGTCCAAGAGAAGGAAAATAATGTCTAGGAAGTGAAATAACATTCCCATTTGAACCCTGGTAGCTAGAGGCAGAGGTACTATTCAGACACAGGGCTCTATTCCCTGCCCAGTGCCTTGGCCACTACACCAGGAGGACATAGTAGTCAAGAGGATGGGGTCTTGGGCTACAACATATATATGATCCTCCTGTAGTGTTTTCTTGGTTTTCTATTAACTTTTATAGTTGCACACAGATATACTAATATGTTCTCCAGAGAAGGCTCTGGTTTCACAAGTAGTTCTCCTCCCTCCCTGTTTCATTGTTCTACTCAGTTCTATTAGTGGTACCTTTCTTTGCTTTCATTGATCTAGGAAGCTCCAACGTTTTGGTGGTATTTTCAGCTTCTGGTCAGCTAAATGATTATTCCACTCCTGGTAGATTTACTCTATTATTCAGAATTAAAATCCATAAATCAGTAGAATTTAACTTTGAGCAAAGAGAAGCAAATACTTTGGACCACTGTATAATCTTCCCAGACAAGAAATTGTTCTGTTTTGCTTGCTGGTTAAGAGCATGTATAACTATTTGTAAGGTTGTGCATATCAACTCACAGGACTTATACCCTGTGAGGTATTGTCATCCCACCAGCATCTAAAACTTAGTTTTCAATAGATTATTCCTCCATTCCTTCAAGCTAGCTGCTTTGAGAGATGTGGGTTACATTGTAAGCTCAGTGACTCCTAAGCACATGAAACTCAGTGCTTCTCTTCTTTTTGCTATAAATTGAACTTCTTTGTCAAAAGCAAGGTCATATAGGATATTATCATGGTGAATAAGGTATTAAATACACACAGAGTGATATTTATAGAAACATTGGGAGCACAAAAGCCAAATTCATGTCTAGGAAAGATTTCTATTCGAACAAAAACAAACTAGTGCTCCCTAGATGAGGAATAAGATCCAGTGTAACTAACCTACCACCTATATCAGGCCAGTTTCCTTGAGTAATGAACTGTATCACAGATGCAGTGTTGGTCTTTGTTGATGACACATTGGGTACTTAGGAGAAGTTAAACTCGATTAGCTCTGATGAACCTGTGTGCAACCTCCATTCATGCCACCATGGCTTCCCTTTTTTCATGAATCTACTGAGCAAACACTGAATGGTCTGGGAAAGAAATACTTGGAATGGATCATCTGGTCTACCTGATTTTGCCTGCTCTTGCTGATTTTGGAGACCTTTTTCTATCATAAATACCTTTGGTAAATAGTCACATGTAGCATAAAAATCTTTACAATTTGTACCCATTACAAAAACACCTTACTTGTTTTCCAGAACTGTTCTCAACCAGTCCTCTTATCTTGTTCTTTCAAAGTTCTTGACTATCCTAGTGACACCATTAGCCATTGCCCATATACTGGCATTGATCCATACCTATTTCCATTTCACATTTAGGAGAGATAAACTTAGCAGGTGAAAAACAATATATACTGCCATAGGTTCTGCCCATTGGTATCATTTACTTTGTTGGTGATCCTTCAGCATCCCACCAAATGGGACTACAATGTAGAAACTGTCTCCTCTTGGGTGGTCCCAGCATATTTTTAAAAAGTA